CCAGCAATATCACGGCGGGGGACACCAGAAATGAGCTTCACACATACCCATGTGGGGAATCAAACCCGTGTCTTAGGCGTGACGAGCGAACGCTTTTATCACAAGGCTACCCCGCCCCTCGTCTACCCAGCCTCTGACGATGCACTGAATAGTGTATCGGATGTTGCTGAGCTGTACGCTGTGCAATCAACAATAAAACGGCTTTTCGGTGTAGCACGATTAATCAGCACTGTCAATTACCCCAATTATTCACAATCATACAGGCTTGCATGGATATTGCTGCACAGGAGTTCATCAGTCTCGTAGACGAGTAGACACTGTAGATGACACAGTGTGTATCAAGTCTGACAGACAGCAACATGACACTGCTGAGTAAACAGGCAGTCATGGCGTACCCTCAACCTGGCTTCAACGGAATTTGTTTATCTATTTCAAAGGGTCAGGCCGTCCTACTAAGCGAACTGAGGACCAGTAATATTACATTTCATATAAGCGAATATATACTGATGTGGAATAATAAAGGAACACCCAGAAATGGAATATATCGGAATGTGTACCACGTGACAGTGAAACCTCGATAATCCGTACAAAACTGTCCGGAATACCAAAGGTTGTGGTTTGATGAGGAAAAAACGATTTCAACGACTGAAAATGTCAAAATTGTTATGACCTTTTGTCGGACCTTTTCAACCAGCTGGCAATTTGTTTCCCATTTCAACGTTTTCATCAACATGTACATCACAACAAAAAATCAGCTTGTAAAAACAATGTCAAAGTTCAAATACCAGAAAAAAACGCTTCCGAAATAATTTAAAATTTTCACTTTCTAAACAGTTTAAACCGACCAATAAATGCAGTGTTAATATAACCTCAACAGCGTGTGTTATAATACTTACCACACACTGAACGACTTTCTGAAAGGTTTGCACGTATATTAGATATGCATATCCGGTATCTGTATGTGTGTATGAAGTTGCACATGCGTTTCTTGGAAAGAACATATTTATAGTTGGTTTTCGGATAAATGAAGACGGGAAGATCCAAATCATATTAATTCTGCTAAACTATTTTCGAAGTATTCCGAGCAATTTAGGCGGTTTTGAAACATTTTCTATATCAACTTGTGATAAAGGGTCATTGTGTGTGACGTCATGATTGTTTCACTGAATGACGTCATGAGCATCGATCTAGGCAAATGGAATATGATGCTATGCATCAACCAATAGACCGATCCAGTCTGTCAATCAAAACTGGCGCATGCGTCAATTTTGGCCAATCAGCAGGCCGGGCGCGCTGTGTGGATTTGTCAGACTTATTTCCGGGGTCAAACGATGCCTTCGAAGCGATGTGCTTTGAATTATGCCATTTACACTCGCTATATCGATTACATATTGCTGTGGGCATTGAGTTGGTACACCATAAACCTGAAATGAGACAGGTGAGAAAGCCGTGACACAATGTAAACAAATCTGACAGCGAGCTGATTTCGGTTAGGGTCGACCGAAATAGCAAAACTTGTTACATTAAAGAACAATGTGGTGGATATGGTTGCATTCGCGATTAGATATTCTGAAATTTGTCACACATTTTAGGATGTTTTAAAGTTTCACAAGCACAATCTGAAGGCCTATGTACAGTACAGTATCTGTTGATAGTGCAAAATATTCGAAGAGTAATACTTTTTATCCAAACGGAAATATTGTCAGTGTCAGCAGTTGCCTATCACGCAATATCCAAACATCAAAAATTAATTCATGAGTGTCTGTAAAACCATGTCTTAAATATTTCAGAATATCTATAAAGAGATGGGACCTTGAATTGATTTAGCTTTACTCAAATGTGAATCGGAGACGAAAACGAAAATGTCAGAGGAATAGTGACTTTCTGGAATATCGGACAGAGTGAAATATAAGTTTATTTCCTAACTATGAGAACATTATTTGTTTTGATTTTTTGTCACAGTATAATTTTTACTTGTAAGGTGGGGTTTGGGGTGGGGTGGGGGTACATTGGTACACTTTAGGAGTAATAACATAGTTCTGTCATTTTAATTATTATTCACTGGAAATGATAGCAAGGTATGTTTTAAGAATCTTGCCTCCTCCAGGAAACGTGGAAAGGTAATAAAATAGATAATACTCCAATCAATTATTAATAATTACTTAACTGTCTCACATATCAGATTCATGTGAAGTTAAAAGGCAGAACTAGGCAAACAAACCCTATATACATATCATGGCTGAACAAACACTTGGTACTAAGATAGCTAGTTTGTTTTAAAGTTATATTTGGTCTTTAAATAATATGTTTATTCAGAGAGTGACTCATAATAAAGTTATTTCAACATCCAGAGAATTTGAAAGAAAAACAAAGGCTACGTTTTGGTCACACCCAGGCATTATTCAGTCATGGAACCAAGTAACTTACAGAATTCTAAGTTGACTGTTCATGTAACTGGAATGGATATTGAAACATGACATTCAACCCCGATTTCATGTAATACTTCTTAGAATTCATCAGCTTGTGAGGAGGTTACCAATATTTGAAGACTGAGCCAAAGTAGTGTTTTTAAGATGTTGTTTTGGACAAATTGTTCAAGGTTTGTTGGTGCTTATTTGGAAAATAGGCTTAAATTCATATTAAAATGCACACTGGTTTAATTGCAGGAGGTGAAAGCTTCAGGACATTTTCATGTATGTTTTCCTAAACTTTTGTTATGACTTTTACCAAATTTTTAAGCAACTATGATATAGTTTGATGACACTAGTAAGTATCTCAGGAAAGGAAATAGATCAGAATTAGTGTTATTTCCCTAAAGGATATGGTCTCAGATCTAATAAAACAAAGATTATCATTGTCTAGAAGCAATAATGTCAATATGTAATTTTATTGACAAATAGCTTTAAACTTTGAATATATTCTTTGCCTCTTGTTTACAATAGTAGTTAGCAGTTAAATATCTCTAAAGAAAAAGCAGTATATTTGTATGTTGTGTAACATTCTGTTTCAATGCTAGTTAATTGTACGGATAACTGTGGATCCTCTGTTCAAAGATTTTGCATCACACGTTTCCTATTTATGGAAGATGTGTCAGTGTACAGGTGCAGACTGTATCTTGGATTCTTTGTGTTTATGGTGGTGTGACATACCTGTAGATAAATGCTGGCAGTTCACGAAGTCCATTATAGTGGAGGTTTGTAGATTAGGATTCCATAACAAAGTACACATAGAAAAATAAATTGGAAAGGATTATTTAAAAAAATTGATTTCCTTATATTCAGTGTCATTTTAGGATGGTGTACAGATTTGGAAGAGAGAAATTTTACTGAGAATAGCTGCAGATTATCTGCTGAATATTTGCTTCTTGGTATGTCCAGATACATCCATGGAAACATACTGTGTTAACAGGTCCAGTAACGTTTTCCAGATAATATATATACAGACAAACAAGGTGGACGAAGTAGTAGACCGGGATACTGCTTTCCTGCGTTGTCCCTTGAAAGGTAGAAACCTAAGTTTTCTCAGACTTAAAGCTGAACAACGGATAAATAAATAAAGGTGGCACGCGCAGTTTTGACAATTTATTTTATAGATACCGGAACGATCTGTAACTTGAACATGTGGTTGTGTTCACGGTTTTTATAATATTACGATGGGAATTTTTGAGAAAAGAACAACAAACATAATTCAGTTACCTTTCCCCTGCTAATATGTTAGACGAACGTGAATTGCCGGATCGATTATTTGGTAGAAAATACGCTTCCCAGTCTCAGCAGCTGGCTGAGACGATTTTTCATCGGGCATGTATATCTAACTACTTTTTCACTCGCCAATTATACAACCTGTCAACTAAAATATATTGAAAATAAAATACGTATAACTTTCCTTTTAAAATATCATTCACAAACGACGGATACCAAAGTACAACAAGCATAATTCATCAACAACATTCGCAATCACGTACGTTTCGCCGGCGGTGACGCCATTGTGATTAGTCCGTGGTTGTCCCCCTAACGTTAAAAACGAAGTGGGCGGGGCTTATCGGCCGGGACTGGATCGGTCTATTAAGCGGGCCTAACCTCCCGATCCTGTTAATTATCTCCCACAAGCATTGTCGCCTCTTCTGATGGGAGCGGTGGAGTAACTTAGTGGTTAATGCGCTCGTTCGTCAAGGCGAAGACCCGGGTTCGATTCCCCGCATGGTTAGAATGTTTGAAGCCCATTTCTTGTGTTCAACGCTATGATATTCCTGGAATATTGCTAAAAGTGGCGTAAAACCTCACTCACACACTCACTCACCCACCCACCCGCTCACTCACTCACTCACTCACTCTTGGCAGCCTCCGTGGTGTAGTGGTTAGAGCGTCCGCCCGGAGAGCGGAAGGTCGCGGGCTCGATCCCCGACCGCGTCATACTGAAAGACGTTAAAATATGGTACTTGTTGGTACCTGCCTGGCGCTCGGCATTAATGGGTACAACAAGGACTGGTAGGCCCGAAGTTAGTATAATGTGTCTGAGTGGGGTATTCATGCTTCACTGCGGCATGGTATCTCAGTGGGATAGCACTATAAAAAAAACAGCTTCAGTCTGGGCTAGTACAAGCAGCCGCACATACACATACACACGCATGCCAGTCGTCATATGAGCGAAATATTCTCAAGCACGACGTTAAACCCAATTTCACCTCACCTCACCTCACCTCACTCACTCTTCTGACCAACATGGTTACTGAAGACCAACTCTGATCCGGATCTTCACGGGTTCGTCATTTAAATCGACACAAAACGGACCAGTGACTCCAGGGTATCTATCCTCGTCGAGTGGAAATATAATTCCCTGGATCATCCAGGATGGCACAGAGAGGGATCAACACTGTATCATCTAGCATTGAACTGTTTAATCTCCCTCTTCCGTATGTTTGCTGTGGTGTACATTGCCAGGCTGAATAATTCTCGTCGCCATTGTTGGTTTTACCCTGACACAGTTTCGTGCGCGTTCAATGGCATAATACACAATAGACTGGGCTTACCTTTACATAGCGCGACAGGTGCGCGACATGCACAGAGGTACAGGGGCGTGAGAAGTCGACCACAGCTCAAGTTGCTGCGGTGAAGTCGAAAAATACAGGTACGTTACCGCAATCTTATTACAAAATCTTACGTACATTCAACAATGGAGCCAGTTTTATGAAACGTGAATATTCCAAAATTCCAAATGAAAGTATGAAGTTGAGACATAGGCAGGCATTCTTTTTAACGTTTGATTTATATCCTGCGATCCACATTGATTTATGGGTTCATTTGAAAGCGGTATTAACTACACACTTAGCGTAGTTTTAGGCGTCTCAAGTTGACTACAGCAGTTAAAGACAACCAGTATAACGAAAATACTAAAAGCTTTTGTCTTTTTAAGTTTTTGTTTAAACATGTCACTTCACATGTAATGTTCATTAAGTTATGTGCATATATCCTCTAATATGCCAAATATATCCTTGATCACGATCAATGTGATTCCTTGTAAACGCGCATGTTAGTAAAGATGATGAATGCATGTATTAGCATAAATGTTTGTATATCGTGCCTTTGAATGTGAAAAGCCCTGTGGGCCTTATGAAAAAACATATTGCTTTGTACTTTGGTCCTCTACTGTGTCCACGACCAGATTCCTTTACAGATAACGATATACCAATATTCTAGTGAACATTTGGAGATGGAAAATATAGATGTTTGTTGGGCTTGATGAACACTAATATAAACGTGTGGGAGTGTATATGTTGGTTGACATTTGAAAATATTGCGTTAGGTCACCATGTTACACGTCCTCGTCAAATACAGGTAATTTATAACCGGACCTGTCTGATTGAGGATACATAATAGATGAATATGTTGGTAAAGGTTGTGGAGGTGATAGTAGTAGTAGTAGTACTAGCGGTGGTGGTAGTAGTAGTAGCAGCACTAGTAGTAGTAGTAGTAGCCGTAGTAGTAGTGGAAGTAGTAGTAGTAGCAGCAGTAGTAGTAGTAGTGATAGTAGTCGTAGTAGTCGTCGTCGTAGTAGTAGTAGCAGTAGTGATAGTAGTCGTAGTAGTAGCAGTAGTAGTTGTAGTAGTAGCAGGATAGCAGTAGTAGCCGTAGTAGTAGTAGTAGCAGCAGTAGTAGTAGTAGTAGTAGTCGTCGACCATCGCTTTGTTATCCTCTAGTCCTTGTCCAAGTAAGACTGGCGTATCCGTAACGTTAACTTCTTACCATAATCCCACCTTGTCTGCTTCAGGTACCATGGGTTCCAAGCAGATCAGCGGGCGATGGGCCCTCATATTTGGTCTGGCGGCCGTCGTCGTCGTTGCGATCATCACTGGGGTCGTGGTGTGGCATGTCACGCGGACACAGCAAGCAGAAGAAACAGAAGAAACCCCGCCCTCGTCACGTGACGTGAACACTGTAGGAGATGTCGAGTTACTCATACAGGTCGGTTTGCCTACAGAGTGAGAAAGTGATAGGCGTTGGTGATTGTAAGAGCCCAGTAGGCGTGTAGGCCAGTATTTTGTATGCATTGTGCGATTGATATACTCTAGTCTGAGGGGCGGTTGGGTAGCCCAGTGGTAAAAGCGTTCCGTCGTAACCGGGTTCGATTCCCCACGTGTTTACTAATGATCCCAGAGTCATAGTTGTTTGTCCACGGCCGTGATGTTGCTGAAATATTGCGACAGATTTCAGCAAGACTATCAAATACAAAAAATAGTGAAAGAGATGTACTGACACACGTTGAAAACACATGCTCATGTTGGTTAAAGTGAGGAGCTTTACGCCGCTTTTAGCAATATTCCATCAATATCAGGGCGGGGGACACCAGAAATGGGCTTCACACATTGTACCCATGTGGGGAATCGAACCCGAGTCTTCGGCGTCTTTAACCTCTAGGTTACCCCATCGCCCCATGGTGATTTAATACATCGGATATATTTGTGTCCATCTCGTAACCCATAAGGCAACATTCGACCCCATACCACTTCGCTGTGCTTGATTACCAGATGCCTGATGTTTAATTTCATTTGGTCAAAATTAACCAAACATCGTTTTTTGTTTATCAAAGCGTTTCAGTATATATCTAACTGTGTACTTAAATAGATATTTCTCTCTGAACAGAAGACAATGCTGATGAAAATACGTCATAATGGCGCGCTCACTGGGGAGATCTACATGGGATTTGACAGGAGTGACGTTCGCCATGATGAATGCAACACTGGGTCGGACGTGTGTGTGTCGTGGGAAAGGGACCGGAAGTTGGAGATATACAAGACAGGGAACGATAAGGTCACGTGTTACAATGTCACCTGGGAGGCTGTCAACTGCGTGTCACAGGAACTGAAGGATTGTGTTGACCTGTCACGTGGTCACTGGTATGGAGGATTTGAGGACTATCACCAATACTGGCCAATGAATGAGATACAACAGGAAATGGCGCCCTATGTTGCCACCGATTCCTACGCCAAGAAATACGGTGGTGTGTTGGAGAGATACTTCCTTTCATCCACGGGGCTAGGCATATTCATTGATTCAAATATACCCCTTCATCTTAGCTTCAATGAGAAGAACAGCAACAGAATGTGTATGTCGGCGAAATTTGAACGCTCACCTTACATCAACATCGACAACAAACCACCACGTCTCTCCTACACCGTGTGTCAAGCTGACAACATCCGGGTAGTTCATGACTACATGTCTGAGAAGTACATTGCCCGCCCTGAAGGCGTCCCCGACCGCCGCCTGTTCCGTTCCCCGATCTGGTCGACATGGGCGATGTACAAGAAAGACATCAACCAAACACAGGTCCTACAGCTGGCTAAAGACATCGTCGACAACGGCTTCAGTCACTCCCAGCTTGAGATCGACGACGACTGGACTACTTTCTATGGTGACATGGACTTCACAACGGACAAGTTCCCGGATGCTCGAGGGATGATTTCACAACTCAATCAAGATGGCTTCAGGGTGACTATTTGGCTTCATCCCTTCTTTAATATCGATTCCCGAGCTTTTTACGAAGCAGCTGAACTTGGTTATCTGGTTCGAGCCCCAGAGCGCAAACTTCCGGCTCTAACATCTTGGTGGCGGGGTCTACTGTCTGGTACCCTCGATGTCACTAACCCTTACGCCGTGGACTGGTACGTCAATAAGACCAACTTTCTAAAAGACACCTACAACATCAGCTCCTTCAAGTTTGACGCCGGTGAAGTAGCATGGCTCCCCTATATTTACAGTGTCAACAAAACGTACCTTAACCCGAATGAGTACACCAGAAAATGGGTTGACCTGGCCTACCGGACTGACCCGGATGTGAGACACCAAGAGGTCAGGGTCGGGGCCGGAAGTCAGAATGTTCCCATATTTGTGCGCATGTTGGACAAAGACTCAGTGTGGGATAGCAACAACGGTTTGAAGACACTTATTCCCTGTGCACTGACGATGGGGTTGATTGGGTACCCGTTTATTCTACCGGACATGATTGGCGGAAATGCTTATGACAACTCTTCCGGTTTAGAGGCACGTAACTACCCGGATGAAGAATTGTTTATAAGATGGATGCAGCTCAATACCTTCCTTCCATCTCTTCAATTCTCGGTTGTTCCTTGGGTTTACAACAACGACACTGTGGTTGAAATCACGCGATATTTCGCCGAGCTACACGAGAATTACACATCAACATTTGTACAACTTGCTGAAGATTCGGTGAGAACCGGCGAACCAATCATCCGTCCGATATGGTGGATAGCTCCTCAAGACGAGGCCGCTCTTACGATTGATTCCGAATATCTCCTTGGCAACGACTTGCTTGTAGCGCCAGTATTGGAGAAAGGGGCCACGTCACGTGATGTTTACCTCCCAGAAGGCACTTGGTTCGACGAGCTCCGGAAACAGCAGGTCGAGGGAGGTCAATGGTACCGGAACTATACGGCAGAGCTTCATGAACTGCCATACTTTACAAGAACAGCAACATAAATTAGATTGTGTACAAGGTTCTGAGGAATTAGAACTGCTGTGGAACGGCCGTAAAAGAAATATAGGTGGAATACAATGGACTTTTAATTCGATGTGCGATATACGTTGTTCAAAATGATTTCATTGTAATAACCTCAGGTTTTCAGGGTTTTACAATATTCCTGGTTTGTATCTGCAGATTAGCAAGAAATGATGTAGTTGTATTAATCAATAATGGTTCAGGAATCTCTGAATTGGCGTCATGATATATGGAAATGGTGTAACCTATCGGAAGCTACGGTTGATCAAGGGAGATAACTTGTGTGTGCAGAGTTGTTTGCCTTAGCTGAATCCTTGAAATGTCATCCCACAGCTTTAAAGGGAGATAACTGACAACCGCAGTATTCAGTCGAAGCCGTTGTCTCCAACTCTGATGTATCGAAATAACGGGGTTTAGTTTTTTTCACCAGCTCCGATCTCAACTAGGTCATGGTACTTCTGTCGGTATTTTCTCCCGTCCCGATGATTTTGAGTCAGCCGGATTATATTGTACTTCGTAAATATTGATTTATCTTTCATCAAACAACTACGACTTGAGTCAGACTGACAAGCAATCCCGGACGAGTGGGCCTGTCACTTCACAAACAACAGGGGCAGGGGTGTAGTTTAGTAACCAAAGCGTTCTGTTGCCGATAAGGGTACAGGGGCGGTGGGGTAGCCTAGTAGTTAAAGCTTTCGCTCGTCACGTCGAAGACCCGGGTTCGATTCCCAGCATGGGTACACTATGTGAAGCCCATTTCTGGTGTCCCCCGCCGTGATATTGCTGGAATATTGCTAAAAGCGGCGTTAAACCATACTCACTCACTCAACATAAGGGTACAGTGTTAGGTGCCCATTTCTTGTGACCCACGGAGTGATATAAAATAAAATCACACTCTGTGAGTAAGAAATATTGTCTGGCCGTGTGTGTGTCGGCCCGATGTACATATGCTTGTCTATGACCTCTGGCCACAAGTGATTTTCTATCTTCAAGCCAACGAGCGCTGTTATCGTCAAACGAGGATAAAATAATGCGTTATTATTATTTTGAATATTTTCTTTTTCGTCAACGTACCAATCCCGGGGGAAGTCCTGATTTGTTAAGAATGATGTTAAATAAAGTGGTCTCTGTATAACCTTCAAATGCCGTCACAGTGCCCTTCGTCCGTCTGTTTATTTTCAGGCATTGAATACGTCGCTGCCGGCACTTTAAATCGCCCAGTTAAAAAAGTGTGTTGGACTTACATAGCCCTTCTGCATCTCCAGTTGTCTCAACGTAAACAAAAGATGTTATAAAACGCATATAATCACCCCTTCCTGAATCATTATTTCGCAATCCGTGTACTGTATTTCAGCGAATATGTACTTTGAATGAGGACCTAAAAAATATAAACCAGAAATTGTTTCATGGGGGCTGGCATGCTCTTTTTCGTGTCCATTTTCCGTTTTTAGAGAATAAAATACATGATGCTGTTCCATGACGTCACGAAGTTTGTTCATAACTATTTTCCTCTTACGCACTTTGAATCATTCCACTTTGAAGATCCAGGTTAGAACGGGGCCCCGTTTCACAAAGCTCTCGTAAGCCTTAGATCTCGTAACTTTTCTCGTAGCATTCGTATCTCCTATACTGTAACATTGTTTTACGATAGTCGTAGCGCTACGAGAGCTTTATGAAACGGGGCCCTGGGCCAAGATTTGCGAAGCTCTCTTAGCGCTAAGATAGTCGTAAGTGCCATACATTAGCATTAACTTACGACCATCTTATCGCTAAGAGAGCTTCGAAAATCTAGGCCCTGGCCTTCAGCAACCCTTGTCGTAAGAGGCGACTAACGGGATCGGTTAGTCAGGTTCGCTGATTTGACTGACACATGTCATCGTAACCCAATTGCTTAGGTCGATGCGCATGCTGTTGATGTACAGATTGTCTGGTCCAGGCCCGATTATTGACAGACCGCCGCCATATAGCCGGAGTGCGGCGTAAAACAACAAACAAACAAACCAATCATAACTATTATCCTGTTATGCCCTGTGAATCTGTTTCGGCTTACATTCAAGACTGATCGTTATCTTGTGTTGACCTTTGAATTTCTTTGAACGATCATTTTGAAACATATTTGACTAAAGACTGAAATTTTATTCGGTAACAGTGATCTGTCTCAGAAATTAAACTTTCATCGAGAAACATTCGCTTTGGAAGTTCTCAACATACAGAGTTACGGCCCCTGACTGTACAAGGATCTGCCTGTACTTTGTTCTGTTGGCAGTATGGCCGTGCTCGTGGGTTTCACATAATAGACAACATGATAAATATTTATTTCGGGAAAAACTATGGAGAACTTGCGGCCCTTACGTCTTTAACGGGGCCGGTGGGGTGGCTCAGTGATTAAAGCGTTGGCTCGTCACGCCGAAAACCCGGGGTTCGTTTCCCCACATGGGTACACTGTGCGTAGCCCATTTCTTGTGGCCATTCTGGTGTCAAACACGTTGGTAAAAGATATCATAGAAAAAAAGGGCTCTTGATCGCTGTGAAAGAAAATCATTTGTAATACTAGTTTCAAAGAAATTTATAATCACTTCATTCGCGCGAAATCTGTCGTATTTACTTTGCCTTTAAGGCAGGTTGGCCACAAGTTTCATGACAAGCAATTACCAGTTAAATCTATTTTCAAATATTTTTTACGGTTAGATTTATTGTTTATTGTTATTTGAGGCTGACAGTAACATCTGTTCAGTGATTTTTCAGATGAGGAAATAAGTACTGTTGATCGGGGTTGATCGGGTTCGACTTAAATAGACTTTGCGCTGAAATAGACTAGTGGTTCGCAGAACACAATGTGGCTAAACTCAGAGCAACGGAAAAAGCCGATGAGATCTGAGTGACGTTAATGTGTCAACAGAGTGCTGGTGATTCAGCGACCTTGAGATGATAAAAGGTCCGTGCACGCCCTTAGTTTGCCATGCAGATAGCCGAACATCCACAAGGAAAATAGATATCAAGCATTACGAATATGGCGTTCGTGCAAATAAGCATCGTGTATGTTGTGATTTGTGTTACTGCATTGACTGGAGATGCGAATAAGCTACCGTCTGCTAATGCAAACAGAGAACAGATGGAAGTCCTGAAGGCGCAGATAATAGCAGAGGTCAACGCGATGGTCAATCAGAGGTTAGACAACGTGACGGCAGACCTGCGACAGGCGCTGCAGGCGGATTTGAAAGCCCAACTGAAAGAGGAAATTTTGGATGAAATTAAGAAGATGTTCCCCGCAAACTGGACTGACATTGCTAACCGGGACAGGTGTAACCGTCCTTGTGAGAATGACTCTGAACTGTTTATCTCAACCCTTCCAACATCATCCCCGACAACAACAATCCCAACGACGGAACGGCCTAAAATCTCACCAGCCTTGCTGGTGGTGGATTCGGACCGGAAAAACTTCAGATTTGTTGATTTGAAGACTCGGAAGGTTTACAGGCCTGGAATTGGTCGTCGTCAAATTGTCGACGTGACGTATGACCCGACACATCAGGATATATATTATATAACAGCCGACGCGATCTTCAAGACTAATCTAGTGACGAAACAGGAAATAGAAGTGTGGAATTGTTCTGGAAAAGGCAAATACCTTGCAGTGGATTCAGTAAACAGGGTTCTGTACTTTATACAGGATCACAGCAGAGTAGGGAACGACATCTGTTCCATAGACATAACACATGCTGACGCGACTCCGAGTTGTTTCAGTCTTTCGGAAGCTGGATTTGACCGGAACAGGAAGTTCAATGTAACTGTTGGCGGTGTGCGCGCGCCTCTTCGAGGGCTGTTGGTCGATGGTACACGTGGGCGATTGTACACATGGGCTCTGTCCCGACAAGAACAATCGCTGACAGTTATCACATTACAAAAGAACACCAGATTGGTGGAAAAAACAATAACGGAAACTTTCCTTGATGATAATCAGCTGCTGGCTCTTAATGAAACCAATGGCGACGTTTTCGGTAATAACTTAATGGAAATCCAGAGGATATTACCAACCACTGCCACGTATGCTTTTTGGAAGAAATACCCCAGGAACTGACGATGCACGATGGGATTATTTACATTGCTTATTACGCAGAGAATGACCTGGACACCTTGGACCTCAACGGGGAAAGGAATAGATTGAGGCGGATGCATAAGACTTCGAAACGTACCGTTAGGTCGCTGTGTGTTGTCTATTAGAAAACAGCTGGTGGTGATTCAACCTCATGTAGGCGTGGATGGCAAGACTATGTTAAAGACAGGTTTGCTGAAGGGTTGCAGGGACCTACGTAAACACTTCGAGTTGTCCCAGGTTCTATATAACCGCAACATGATGGCTACAAATTACGATTATGCAGTGACCAAAGCTTTTACTTCGAGAAAATAGTAAGTTCGACGGAACGTTGTTTAACTGTGTTGCTTGTATGGACAATTTTATTGATTACTTGAACTTACTCGATCTCTCATAATAGCATCTGTTTTATGGCCGCTTTATGAAGTAGCAGTTGACACAACACGAACAATGTGGGATTCATGTCAATCAGACAGTTTTCATCAGTTTTGAAGAATCGTGATTTATCCGTTACGATTAAAAGTGATCCCTCTTCGTTCATGTGTAGTATTGTCGTTTCTGTTGTTCAGGTAGTATTGTTGTTTCTGTTGTTGATGTAATGTTGTTGTTTCAGTTTGTTCATGTATTGTTGTTTCAATTGTTCAGATAATGATCCCTCTACATCTACCCGGTAGCCTAGTGGTTAAAGCGTCCGCTCGTCACGCTGAGGACCCAGGTTCGATTCCCCACATGGGTACAATGTGTGAAGCCCATGTCTGGTTTTTCCCCGCCGTGACATTGCTGGAATATTGCTAAAAGCGGCGTAAAGCCAGACTCACTCACCCTGATCCAGACTGACTTTGACATGCCGCAGTGATATAGCTGGAAACCTGTTCACTTACTCACTCTTATGTACATAACAATATTTAGCTCAGATAGGTACGATGAGAGGTCTACCCAGCTGGGCATCCTGGAGTGTGCCTATAACAGTCTCAATCACTCACGATCAAACGGAATAGGTACACGGGGGCTAGCCACTACTAGCAGACTTACTTAGAAGGTCAAATACTCGTTGCCACAGTGTGGAAAGATATTTTAACTTAAATTGTTGGCATCAGTAATCAAAACCGCGTTTCAGGGCCCACTGCAACGAAGATCATAAGAGTTACTTCCCTTCCATTACGTTGCTGTCACAGTCACGGTCACTTGCTGGTTTCACAAAACCCAATGTTTTCCAATAGACTTCAATAGTAACGTTACATTTTCCTTAAAAACATTGTGGCCTTGAAGCTACAATAAAAGCACAAATTTAGGAAAGGTTAACCAATTCCTTTTCCCAGTACAGGAAGCTGAATACCCCAGTTCAACACCAAATGTCACCTCCTTGAAAAAGTCTCTGCACACATTCAGCACAAGTAATCATATCGTTAATAAAGACAGCACTACATATTGAAAAATATGGCCAGTTTTAATAACTGGATGGATGTATTTTTTTACAAACGCAAACATCTTACATAATATCATCCAATCAGGGCCTAGATTTTCTAAGCTCTCTTAGCGCTATGATAGTCGTACGTACCATACATTAACTTAGCGCTAAGAGAGCTTCGAAAATTTAGGCCCTATAGGCTGTAAGATGATTCAGTCTGCACTGAAAGCGCCCAACGAAAAGTGCTTTTTGTACTACGCAATCTGATTTGGTGGAGCATAACCCGGTGCACATCACTCCGGATGATCCCGCCGATCTCTTTGTGTTGTTAACGTACGCATGTACACAACAAACATTGCATGAGTATATACAACATAAACAGTTTTTATGTTTCAAGATGGAACAGGTGTCCAGTAAATGATCTTCATGGTGTTCACTGCCAGACAAAAGCACATGTTGACTGAACGGACGGCCGCCATATTTAAATGTGCACCCAGAGACACCCACTTATTTCTAGGGCTGCGCAATATAACCGGTTTACCGGTATTTACCGGTTCAGACATGAAAACGATACGTATTGCGATACGCTGATCGAAAACCGGTATTTTGACTTGCATTCGGAAAACTTCGTAACACTCGGAAATCTTCGGATATTTCCTTTTTTCATTTGTGCCAAATATTATTCACATTTATATTTTTAATCATGAATAAAAGTTATTATTAAAGCTTAATCAAGCATAGTGATTTTGCTGTGTATTTGCTCTATAAATCAAGCATTACCTCGATTATAAGTAGTTTTTACTTCACGCAATATATTGCAATACATATCGCAGTACATGCTTTTGCATCGCAATATATCGCAATATGAAAATTCTCTGCAATACCCACCCCTACTTATTTCCAATTGCTCTCATTATCAGCATATGATTTCGATGAAAGTACACACCTGCACGCTTCAATAGAAGCGACAAAACCCTGT